TTCCGATCGCAAGTCGCGTCTCAGCTCCCACGAACCGTTCCCGCCTTCTTGTTTCGCGAAAGGACGCCGTCCCTCGTTTCATTTAAGTTGCGAACAGAAGAGAAGAAAGAATCTAAGTCACGGTTGGTGTTCTTCTTCGGGCTTCCTCTGGATAGAAGGACGAGAAGTGCAAGAGGTAGTTCGTTGTGGTAGAAGGAAGAAGAAAGAAGAAGACTGTTCTCCCTTTGCTTCTTCTTGGTGGCTTGTGGAAGAAGAGAAATTGGGTTTATTTCTTTTTTAAGTTTATCTTCTTCGGTATATCTCGGTGTAGAGAGAGAAGAATAGAGAGAGAAAAAGAGAGAGCAACGAAGTGAGAGATTCTTCTTGTAATTTGAGGTGACCGACTGGTGTAAATTTCTCAAGTACTAAAATCCTCTGTAACTCCGTGGACGTAGGTAATTTGCCGAACCACGTAAATCTGTGTATTCCGCTGTGTTACTGTTTTCTAGTGTGAATTTTCTTGTTCTATTTTACGCTTCGTCGATCGTTTTTCTATCTTATTTATATATATATACCACAATAACTGGTATGATATAGATCTTGCAACAACTGGTATCAAAGCTTTGTTCGGGTCTGAGGAAGAATGATGACTGTAGATGAAGTGTAAGTTTCAGGGATTGAAAAGTTTGATGACACAGATTTTGGTTACTGGAGAATGCAAATAGAGGACTACCTCTATGTAAAAAAGTTTTATCTTACGTTATTGGAAAAAAAACCTGAAAGAATGGGTGAGGCTGAATGAAATTTGTTGGATAATCGACAAGTTCTGCGGGTTATTCGATTGATCATATTGAGATCTGTTGCACACAATGTCGTCAAGGAGATGACGACTGCAGATCTCATGATAGCCTTATCAGGTATGTATGAAAAGCCATCAGCGAATAATAATGTATACTTGATGAAGAAGTTATTCAATTTGAAGATGGTGGTAGGTGTTTTTGTTGCTCAACACCTGAATGATTTCAATACTATCACAAATCAATTGTTGATTGAAATTGATTTTGATGATGATTTTGATGATGAGATACGTGCATTGATATTGTTGGCATCGTTGCCAAATAGTTGGAAAGCCATGATGATAACTGTTAACAACTCTGCAAGTATATCTAAACTGAAATGTGATGATTTTAGTGATTTGATTTTGGCTGAGGAGGTTCGCAGGAAAAATTCTGGCAAAATCTCAGTTACGAGCTCGACACTGAATATTGATTTTAGAGGGAAATCAAAATCAAAGTCTTGTCAGCAGACAACCTGCTGGAATTGTGACAAAGCTAGTCATATAAAGAGGAACTGCAGGAATCTCAAGAATATGGAGAATGATAGCGCAAATGTGGTATCTGAAGAAGTACAAGATGTACTATTGCTGACAGTTCATAGTTTTGTTGATGATGAAAGTGAAGAGGATAGTGGGTTCAGGGCACCCATTCCTATTGTTCCACAGACAGATGATAGAGAGTCAGAGAGCTATGAGGAAATCTTGCAAATTGAAATTTTGAGCAAGTGGGAGCTAACAGATCTTCCATCAGGAAAGAAGACATTACAGAACTAGTGAGTGTACTAGATAAAGTTTTAGCTTGATGACAGTAAGAGGTACAAGGCTAGACTTGTTGAAAAAGACTTTCAGCAGAGGCAGTATATTGCCCATACAGTGGGAGTTGTAAGTAAAGATAAGAGTAATATAGGAAATAACTTGGAGGTGCAAGGCTATGTGGCTATGTGGATCGCAAGGCTATGTGGATCGTGCTGATATGTTGACTGAGGGTATTACTCTTGAGAAACTAAAGTTGTGCACAGCTTCAGTTGGTCTTCTGGAGTGAAGACAGTGCTTTGAGTTGCCGAGGTGGAAGATTCATGATGGAGGATTCATGTTTGAAGAGAAGGGCGACACCGCCAGTGAAAGATATCAGTTTGAGGAAGGAGATATTGTTGCCTGTGTACCGGTCTCCAAGTGAGAGATTTGTTAGAGGTGGAGCCCGGTCTGACTGCTCTCACTTCTGCTCCCGCTCGGTCGCTTCCTGCTTCCGCCTCCCTGTTGCCGATCGCGATTCGTCGCGACCGCTCCGTCTCTTCCAATCGCAAGAGTCACGTCCCAGCTCCTGCGAAGCTTTCCCTTTTTTGCGAAACGAGGCCGCCCCTCGTCTCCTTTAAGTTGCGAACAGAAGAGAAGAAAGTTTCTAAGTCACAATTGGTGTTCTTCTTCGGGCTTCCTCGAGATAGAAGGAAGAGAAGTGTAAGAGGTAGTTCCTTGCGGTAGAAGGAAGAAGAAAGAAGAAGAAGATTGTTCTCTCTTGGCTTTTCCTTGGTGGCTTGTGGCAGAAGAGAAATTGAGTTTATTTCTCTTTTAAGTTTATCTTCTTCGGTGTATCTCTGTGTAGAATTTTTTCGGTGTATCTCGGTGTAAATAAAGAAGAACAGAGAGAGTAGAAGCGAGAGCAACGAAGTGAGAGATTCTTTTTGTAAGTCGAGATGATCGATTTGTGTAAATTCCTCAAGTAGTAAAATCCTCTGCAACTCCGTGGACGTAGGCAATTTGCCGAACCACGTAAATCTGTGTTTCACTGTGTTACTGTTTTCTGGTGTGAGTTTTCTCGTTCTATTTTTCGCTTCGTCGATCGTTCTCCTATCTTATTTATATATACATACCGCGACAACTGGTATGGTATAGATCTTGTAACAGGGAAGATGGGAACCGGCGACAGGAAAACCCGTTTGAGAAGGCCTGTAGGAAGTGCCGACGACTAGGGTGGTGTCCTGGCGGCAACTAGGTTTAGACCCTTGGGTGTGATACCATATAGAGTTTTGGGAATTGAGTAGCGTAATATTATTGATATGAAAGAGGTATGAATACATATTACATAACTCCTAACATAAGAAAGATATAAAATAGGAAAGACAAATTCGAAGACACAGAGAATAGAAAATACATAAAACGAACAACTCAAGAAAAGAAAATAAGTAAATGCTAATAAAGGAATAAATATATTCTAATATTTATTCTATATA